ATTTTGCATATGTATTTATAATTTACCTCTATATATATATATTTATCTATATATATATATATATATACATATATATATATATATATATATATATATATATATATATATATATATATATATATATATATATATACATTTCCAGTGAAAATCTTAAGATCAGTTACAAAACGGTTAAAAAATATAAAATACTGTTACTTTAATCGAAATATATTTGCCAAACATTTACATTTAATTAGAAAATGTATTCTATCAACAAACAACTGAAAATCTTAGGCTTTTAATTAATTAATTTAAACAAACATTGACAAAGATAAGACCATGTAAATAAAAATAGCAAATCCAGAACAAATAAGTGACAATGATAATTTAATATTCAGTATATCCTCCATTTTTTGCAAATTACTTCAAAAATTCGCTTTGACATACTCAGTATTAACTTCTGCATCAGGGTGTTTGGGATACTCACCCAGGATGCAAAACGAAGAGCACACACACACAGTATATTTCGATTAAAGTAACATCATTTTATTTTTTTTTTAACACTTTTTCATCTGGTCATAAGATTTTGACAAAGGGTGTATATATTGTCCCTTTATTTATTTTTTCCCTGTTGGCACATTATTTCTTAATATTAATTGCATACACATGCAAAATGAAACAGAATGATCGAGGCTTTTGATTTTTCGTTTTGTTTGATTTAATTTTCAGGCGTATGTGCGAGTAATGTAATGGATAGCGGCTCTGAATGAGAAATCTGTTTGCTGATGTTTATTTCCAGTCTAGTCGGGTTCCTTACTTTCACTAATACGCAAAGGATGGGAAAGGTATAAATCCATTTCCTCACCCATCTATGGGTTATATAGTAGGACTTGTATTTGGAAAAAATCATTGTTAGTCTCCAAAAAGCTGTTAATGGAATATTCACTTACAAGAAAAGGATTATACTTAAAATCCAGAGGTCTGGATTTTAAATAAGCGACTAGCCGTTAAGAAACCATTCAATTGTTTTTTGGGGTTTTTTTTGGTTTTTTTTTTTATTTTTGTTTTTTTGTTTTTTCGTTTTGTTTATTATGTTGTTGCACCGTGATGTAGCCAATGGAAACTCTATTCTTGAAGTAAAATCTGAATAAGATTCCTCAGAACTTAACAACTTTCCAGAGAATCCTCGCAGAATAAAGGCCTGCAGTTTTCTACAGCTCTTCGGTTACGATGTCAATTCTATTTTTACTAAGTGTTTTTCAAGCTTCTATTTTCTGTTCCGGGTACTCACATCACTACTGGAATTATTTCAACAATTATGTTTCAGAGCTCCTACAACTCCCAAGACAGATACTGGTATTCTTCAATCTTTTCAGTTTCTTTAATGTCCATTCTTGCATCATGAGGGAGAGCAAAGTCAATAATTTGACTCGTGTAACTTTTCTTATCTGTCACGATAAGGTTGGGTCTTTGTGTTTCGATTACACGCTCTGTCTGGATAGAGATATCCCATAATATCTTGTGACTGACATTTTCTCCCAGGCCACAGAGACGGAAAGGCAGAAAGATAAGGTTCAGCGAAGTTCTCAGTCTGGCCAAGAATTTCTTCCCATGAATCTGATTCTTTTTCATTTGGTCAGATTTGGAAGGAATGTCGTACACACACAGGGCATATATATATATATATATATATATATATATATATATATATATATATATATATAAAGGGCTCAAACACTAATATTCCATGGTTATAACTTATTACTTTGGTATCGTAATCAAATTCCAATTCATCAGACCAACAAATTCAAAAACTGAATTTGTACATCAAGTGCCTGGCTTTATACGCAGACATGCTCCATTAACATCCGGGCACTCAGCCGCATGATTCTGCCATTGGGGAGCATTTATTATGTTCCGTCACTTGTGGATCCAATGATTCAGCGGTGTTCTTCTTTGTGCTTCACGGGACTCGGACGAAACGCCATCTTAACATCTTGGAAGCGGTTGCTATCAGAGAGAGAGAGAGAGAGAGAGAGAGAGCTGAAACACTCTTCGGTGAGTTTTTGTCTTGTTCTGGGCAACTTTAATTTTGTTTTGTTTTTTTTTTACCTTTCTTCTCTCTCTTATTTCTCTTAATTCTATTGCAAAGAGGTTTATTTCCTTTCAGTAGTTGTTCTTAATTTCAAAGAATTTTTTCTGACAAAGTGTCGGACAAAAGGTACCTTTAAATTTCTATTTTTAATCTAGACGATAATTTTTATCCGACTTTTTGATTAATAAAATGTTCACTATTGTAAATACACACACACACATATATATATATATATGTGTGTGTGTGTGTGTGTGTGTGTGTGTGTGTGTGTGTGTGTGTGTGTGCGTGTGTGTGTGTGTGTTAGTTCAGACAAGTGCCCAGTGAGCATCAAAGAAAACTCACTATCCATTAATATAAGCCGAATCGCCACTGAAACAGATTTCGGGAGTAAACTGAAAAGTTGGTTTGTAGGCACAAAAGGTCTAACGCCTTATTACACAGGTAATAACAATGTTATGACTCATTAGCACATACTCCACACGCACGCGCATACACACGCACACACAGACATATATATATATATATATATATATATATATATATATATATATATATATATATATATATATATATATATATATATATATATATATATTACTATATAATTGCTATTGTTAGTCATCACATGTGTTTGAGTTGCTATCTCTGTTTTGTTTTTTTTTGTTTTGTTTTGTTTTTTTTGGGGTTTTTTTTCTCGACAAGAATCGAACCGCTATCTCTTTTTCTAGCATGGAAAACTTTACTATAACTTGGTATGTTGTTAGCAATTTGTTCACGGGACACCATCTTGATAAAAAGGATTTCGAATTACCTATTTCATCAAGTCAGTTCACTCACTGAAACTTCGACAAAACTATATCTGTTACCTTCATTTTATTAACCGAAACGTTAACAACAGTAATTTTTTAAAGTTAATATACAAATTGTCAGGAATAAATGTAGTCGAAGCTTTCGTCTTTCTTAACTATTGCTCTACTCTTGTTATTGAACCCACTTTTAATTAATGCTATGAACGTTTGAATTTATATTCTTTTCCTATATATATATATATATATATATATATATACTTGCGGATGCGGGCGCTTAAATTATAATTTTTGTTATTTATAGATTGTTGTTTTTGCTATATGAGTATTGCTTCAATGATCATAAACGTTTTTACGCTTTTATTTTCTAGTATTTTGCCATTGTTTGTCTAATGCTTCTGTGATCTTTATGCTGCTTATTAACGTTTTATCTGATGCCAGGTGACTCTACGTGAAA